GGGGGGGAGGCGGGGGGGGGGGCTCATGCCGAAACTGGCGCCTTCCGAGCGCTGCTGCGCGTTGGGGAGAGCCTGGAAGGGGGCTCAGGGCTGGGCCGGGGCCTTCTGCGGGGTGTCCGTTTCCCTGGACTCTGTTCCCCCGGGAAGAACGTTCCCCGGTTCGTGGAGGAGGGGGGAGCGGCCGCCGTTAGGTGGTTACAAGATGGACCTCTGGGTAGGTGGTGTCCGAGCTGCGGGTTGAGGCACGCCTGGTATCTAGACTAATTACTAAACAGCTGGGCTGTCGAGGAGTTGCATTTGTTTCTTCTGGGGTAATGTAAAGGCATTTCATTTACCCCCGTCTCCAGGCTGTAAAATCTGCTGCATCCCCTTTGATACCTTCAGTGAGGATCAAGATGGTAATATCTTACGGTCATGGGGAAAAGAAGCGTGCCTTTTCAGCTGCAGTGGAAATATTAATGTAATCCAGAGTTCTTATACCTTAAAAAAAAAAAACAAAACTAAATAGGCTTGCTTCAGATCTCAAGGTGGTCTACCTCTGGCCTGAAAATGACCTTGACTGTCTCTGGGCAGTTAGATATCAAGTTAAGAAAGCTATAATTTAATGGAAAAATGTTTGATATCAAGATATAGCATTTAAATTTTCCACTTGTGTTGTTTATTTCCACAACACAGCAAAAGATGTATGGTTACAAAAAAAAAATGTAAAAAATTGTATACATTTTACTTGTGTATCTGAAATTGGCTTTAATTTTTTTTTTCATCATAAAGCATGTGTCATTGTTGTTCGAAATGCGTTAGTGCTTTATTTTAGGGAAGTGGACGGAGGGTTTCTTAGTTCTGATTTGACCAACGATGCTTTTCCCTTAGAAGAAAAAATATTTTTGGAATCCCGAGCCTTAAAATTGCCACATTGACTTTCGAGCAATGTGTCAGTTAGTAGTCAGTGGAATTCAGCTCTAAAAAAAAAAAAAAAATCAGTGTTTTTCCAGCTAGAGCAAAGCTTGGAGTAGAATGGGCATTAACAGCCTGGTTTGTGTGTGCAGGAGGGTTTGGGTAGCCAGAGGCCTGCCCGTGTGAGTCAGGTTGCCCACCAGGGGCTTCAGCAGAAGGTTCAGCTCTGAAAGGTTCTGCAGAGTGTGCCCAAGAGGTTGTTTTTGAGGATTGTGTGTGTGAATGTTCTTATATTTATTTGTACGTGGGTGTCTCTTATCTAACTCAGCAGCTGATAGGTTTGCTTTTGGTTTTGTGTTTGGATATTATTTTCAAGATACTACTCTTTCTCTTTTCAGGCTTTGATTAGTATTTTAGACTCATAACACACGTTTCTCTGGAGCTGATGTTTTCCTAACACTTTCAGCTTGGCTTAAAAAGCTACTTTGCTGGCATGTTTTAAAGGGTTAAAAACCCTCTAGGATTTGAAGTTAATTTGAATTAATTGAAGGAAATACTTCTGGCCTCACCAAAGAAATAACTGGAATCATGGATCAGAACAACAGCTTGCCACCCTACGCTCAAGGCTTAGCCTCCCCTCAGGTAAGATCAATAATTTAATATGCAACTATGATCTGAATCTCTTTATGAGAGTCTTTTCCATTTCTTGCATGTAACTTCAGATTTTTTGTTTGCAGATCTGAAAAATTCTGCTAGGTATAGAATAATACCAGTATAAAGCATAATTTTAAAACCATGAATTTGTATATCCAGAGGTATAAGAAGCATGCAGATATTTGGGGTTCCTTTTAAGTCCAAACATGACTGTCAAGCTGGAAATATTAATTTAATTTTGGTGGTTGCCCTTTAAACTAACAACATACTGAACTGTTGCTGTGTTGTGAATGCATTTGGTACTATGGGCACAGTCTTCACTCAAACAATTGCAAGTTAAATCATGGGTCAAAGTTGAGACATGCTTGCAAGGTAGTGTGAGGAACGTGTCAGCATCACTGGCTGGAGGTGAACACTGCTAGAACTGAGAGATCCCTACAGGTAATATTTTATTTTATGGAAGAAATGCATTTCCAAGGGTTTTCTGTGTTTAGCGAGCTACTGCTAGATGCCTCAGGTTTGATATGCTCGACTTAGGTTGATGTATTTTCAAACTCTTCCTGAAAGCTTTTTCTCTTAAAACCAAAATGGATTCAACAGGATCTGTGGTGTTGTTTTTTTTTTTTCATGCTTTCTTCTCTAGGGTGCAATGACTCCAGGAATTCCAATTTTTAGCCCAATGATGCCGTATGGCACGGGACTGACACCGCAGCCTGTGCAGAGCACCAACAGCCTGTCCATCCTAGAGGAGCAGCAGCGGCAGCAGCAGCAGCAACAAGCAGCGCAACAATCCACATCGCAGCAAGCCACGCAGGGGACGTCTGGTCAAACTCCCCAGCTCTTCCACTCACAGACTCTTACCACGGCCCCTTTGCCGGGCACCACCCCGCTGTACCCCTCCCCAATGACTCCCATGACTCCCATAACTCCTGCAACACCCGCCTCCGAGAGCTCTGGGATAGTGCCGCAGCTACAGTGAGTGTCCCCTGTGTTAGTGCAGCGTGTCCTTCCTCAGGTAGCCTTTGAAAGACTTAGGACCAAAGCCACAGCAGGAATTGGGTACTGGGTTTTGGTGGGAAGGGAGGCCCTGAGAATTGATGGGTCTCTTCCAGCAGTATGAGTAATTTTTGCTTTTATTTTTAGCTTAGTTCATTACTAAACCACTTAGTAATATAAACAGTTTCTTAGGGATTTGTCAACTGTATGTCTTTTAAGCATACCATTGGAGCATGTTATATATGTCTTCTTTTAGCATCACTGTAACTTTTAACTCTATGCACTTTAGGAGTTCATCATGCTTTAGCAGTTTGGGTTGATAATCTGGCATTTCAAAATATGTGTCCTTTGTAATTTACTGGATATTTGTGACCTGTTCACAGAAAAGCAAATAGCTCCATTTAACTGTGAGTAGAACTTAGTGAGATATCAAAGCAGAATACAGGAACTATGACAGCTGAAAGGGAATTGGAAGGGTAGAGGGAAAGAAACTAATGGCTAGTCCAGGAGCTAGAGCTGAGTTGTACTTTATATTCCACGTTCCCTTTTCTAGTTCATGGCTACAGCCTTTTTTTTTTTTATTGTAACAAGGGGGGAAAAAAGCTACAACTAGTTCTAGGTTTAGGTTGGAAAGTATTTTCACTAAACTTTAGTTTTAAAGAGACTTTTACAGCAATTTACAGAAGGCCCAAAGTGAAATGGTTGGTAACGTGAATTTTGCACTGAAAGAGTAGTTCCTCATATTTCTTTCTTTTTCTCCATCGAGGACCTTTAGATGTCAAGGTTTTCCCAGGAAACAAATTAGTTACCACTTAGTCCTGCACTTCCTCTTCCTCCTTGAAGGGCCTACCAAAGAAAATTGCAGATGGTACTATTGCTACTTCATTTTCTCCTGTTTCCAGCAGCTTCCCTGATTGTGGTGGGGGGCTCTCAGCATCAGGACTTTTTACTGGCAAACTGAAATGGAAATTCTTCTCCTGAGACGCTTTTCATAATAGCTGGCAGATAAGGAGGAATCAGCAATCAGGTCTTAGGAGAGACTGCTCTACAAAAGGAGGTTCCTAAACCAAGACACTGCTCAGTGCTCCTGAGGAGAAGGAAATATGTCATGCAAAATCAATTGGAGAAATTAATTTTAAAAAAAAATGAAAAAAAAAAAAAAGATTAAGCTTGGTTAAAAATGGGGAAGAGACATGAATTTTTTATTGTCTTTTTAATGTATTTATCTGAACTGT